AATATTGATTGATTCTTTAAACTCCTGTTTTGAAATTAATTATACTCATTATTTTGTCTAATTACCTATTTATTCTCTGTTTACAAATTGTTGATAGCACGAAATATGCCTCAAAATCATCAAACGGTCGTAAGATTTGTATCATCATAGGCGTTCCTGAGGTGTTTATTCATTAAAATTAATATTAATATTAATAATGTTGTAATACTGATATATTTAGTAAAAAAACAATTACGGCTAATGTTGGTTATTATATTATATTAATAAAAATAATAATTTAACCATTAACAATTTTGTAAATAAGAATACCTTATCTCTTTGGATATTTCAATACTAATCTTCGCGTTTAATCACTTTACTAGAAAACCTGGTATTTATATCCGAAGGTACTATCGGTTGCAAGATAATTAGGATGGAATTCCCCAGATTTTTAATAATATAATGGGTATAGATGCCGGATTTGGCCACGTACCTCGTCTGTTTAGTTTATATTCGAAACTTAACTTAAAAGGGTGAAGTTATTACAAACGAAAACAATTTGTTTGTTTAGTACGTTTTTGATCGCATGTAATTTACGCATCGAGCAAAAAGTCAAAAGAGGGAATGTAAAGGTAGTGGGGGCAAACATATTGTTAGACAGGAAGTGCGATCTTTAGAGGCCACATTAAAAAAGAAAAGAGAGTCTCTCTCCTTGTTTGACATCAAATTTAGTTGGGTTATGTTATTGTTTGTCCCAAATGTCACATGAAATCTTATTTATGTTGAAGTTTTTTAACAATTGTGTCGCATTTTAGACTATTATCATTAATAATTAATTAAAACTTTCTCGTCTAAGACACATTCTGAAAAATATTATATAGCTACTGTTGATAAGTGTCGGAAAATTTAAATTTGGCGCATTCGCATTTCCGGATATGTCCGCCATCAGAGGCCACTTTTTTGGTCTCCTTTTCATAAGCATTAGATTCCCTCTTTTGTCTTATTGCTCGATGAATTTACGGCTCGTCGGTGTTTCCGCTTCTACGGCAGTAATTAGCGTCTCGAATATTTCTTTTGCGAATTATATGCAGTGCGTGAGTGATTTTTTATTGCATATACCTACGAATATATACGTACCTTTCGCTCGTGCTCGTTTTGTTGGATTGTTTGTGATGGCTTCATCATCAACATCATCAAGTTTTACACCGGTACTGTTGCGTACAGTCAGTAAGTCTGTCTATTCACCAAGAGAGAAGACTATTGTCCTGAATGTTCACGATGCTCTGGTTTCTCAGAATCCCACAAACACTGTTCGCAACATAGTCGAAAGTTGTGCCAACATGACTGGCGTAGGGGAGTCAACTATATATAGGTTCCTATCAGAAAGAAAAAAATACGGTATAGCTAACCCAAACACAAACGAACACTTAAAGAGAGGGAAAAAGCCTATTGAACTTGATGAATTTGCCAAAAATGGTATTCGAAGGAAAATTCATGGATTTTTTTCAAAACAGAAATACCAAACCTAAATAAAATTTTACAAGAAGTTAGAGATGATCCGGATTTGCCTCATATCGGACGAACTAAATTGTGGCAAGTTTTAAAAGAATTAAATTTTCGGTGGGAGAAATCAGACCGAAAATCACTTTTGATTGACCGGGAGGAGATAATATGTTGGAGAAGAAATTATCTAAGATCCATACGAAAATTCCGGGCTGAAGGAAGGCCAATCTTCTACCAGGATGAATCGTGGGTAAACTCAGGTCATACTCTAAAAAAAGTTTGGTCAGATAAAAATATATTAAGCTCCAGGCAAGCCTTTATGGAAGGTTGGTCTACTGGTATCTCCCCACCTTCTGGTAAAGGCAGTAGATTAATAATTTCTCACATTGGCAGTGAAAAAGGATTTGTTAAGCATGGTTTGTTGGAATTTCAGTCCAAAAGCACAAAAGACTATCACGAGGAGATGACAGCTGATGTTTTCGAAGAGTATTTGGTGCAGATGATTGAACACATACCACCAAATTCAATTATAGTATTAGATAATGCACCTTATCATTCACGACTAGTAGAAAGACTTCCAACGACTGCGTGGAAAAAAACAGGATATTCTTGACTGGCTGCGGAATAAGTACCTGCCTTACGAAGATGGAATGGTAAAAGCAGAACTTTTAAAAATTGCCCGGCAACACAAATCTAAGTTCGAAAAATACGTAGTTGACAAAATGGCGGAAAGGAGAAACATCACAGTCCTTAGACTTCCACCCTACCACTGCGAAATAAATCCAATTGAACTCATTTGGGCACAAATGAAAAGTTATGTGGCTAGAAAAAATACGTCATATAAAATACAAGCTGTACGTGAATTGTTATGCGAGTCTTTACAACACATTACAGAACAAAACTGGAAAGATGCAGTAAGACATGTAATAGAAGAAGAACAAAAAATGTGGGATCTTGATAACATAATTGATGCGAACGTAGAGACACAACCGCTAATTATTAACCCTCAAGACGACTCGGATTCCGAAGTTGATCCTATTTATTTTGAATTTGAATAGTTTTCTAATCGTAATTATATAAGGTAAGTGATAGTAGTTGTAATCGTAGAGTATTAAAGGGGAAAGGCGCAAAACGTCGCCTGTCAAAATGTTCAATGTATCGATTTTTTTTCAAATCCTGAGAAAACTAAAAAGCCTTTTTGGAAAAATTTAAAGGCAGAATAAAATATTTATTAGAATAAATAAAAAGTTTCTTTTGCATGCAATATTTTCAATTAAAAATTATACTATATTCTCTCTTTTATTTTCACCCCTGTTGCATAACATAATAAAATAAACATTGTAGAAGTTTTCAGGGACTTTCTGTAATATACATCAGTATACACATATATAATACCCTCAGTAATAATGTAATCTTTCATTCTGCTTTAAAATTTTTCATAAATATTTATTAGTTTTCTCCGAATTCGAAAATAATGGATACATTTAAAACACATTTGGTGCCTTTCCCCTTAATTAAATAAATGTATCTTTTACAAATGGCAAAAAACTTTATTTTTGAATCAAATATTTTATTTTATTATAAGTTTTATTAAAACAAAAATACAATTTAAAATATATATTTATTTAGTTCAAATAAATGTTTCAATCATATACTCTACGACACTGGTCGGCCAAAATTCCTAATCGGATTATAAGCTTGACCGCTGTATTGTATTCCGGCAGATACAAGGTGGGTTAGTCGAAAACATCTTAAATTAGGATTAAACTTGTAGTGAGCTATCAACAAATTGTGAACCGAGTATAGTTGTCAAAACAGATACATTGTTACCTAAAGAAGTGAAAGTGGTTTAATCTAGAAATTATATAGTAAATAATAAATATTTGAAACCTGATGCACATATTCCTCTCGCGATTTGGGCTTCAAGTACTAATTTTACAAATCGTACCACTAATAGACGTAAATCCTTTCATTTTAATTTCATGAATATTTTTATTCGCCACATCTCAACATTTTCTATTTCAGAATATTTATCATCAAACTGTAATCTACGTTAAAAGACAATTCGTCAGTAAAAAAGTAACAAAAAAAACAAAAGAAAATATAAGACATAAAAAACGAATTCAGCAATACTGTAATCTCAAAATATCTTGTTATCCATTATTTTGTAATAAAATTTTATAAAAGTTTGTCTTCGATTAGATTGTTATGATTTACAGGACGATTATTTGTTACCTGTATGTACCTTTGCAACGTTGTGAATTAATTATTCAATAAATAATATTACTCTGGTATACTCATATTATTCTAATTACCCGATAACCGCACTGAATAGAAGACCGCCCGCTCGCTTTATTGTATAGACCCAAGACTTTTCACCACAGGGGGTGGGTGTACCGGTTGTAACTAGGTATAAAGCCCAACTCTAGTACAAGATGACGTTTAGAATATTCTTTGTGAATGGATTTTGTTTTCGTAAAGACAGATATTTTTGAAATAGAGATCCCACTGAATTTAACCGTTAGGATTTTCGAGGATAAGCCTTAACATAGTTTTATTTGTACAAAATTGTTAGTAAAGTTTTTTTTATTCGAATATTACGTAGCACTCAATTGTTACACAAATAAATAATTATTTGCGCATTCTTATCGGAATACTCTTATAATACACTTCTAATTAGGTTTGTCTTTCACTCTTTTCAGACCACGGTTTCCAGTTGCTTAATTTTCCGTCTTCATAAATAGAAAATCACGAAAGCTGCATTCATATTTCATCCATCAAAATTCTTTCATCAAAGTTTTCTTTTAAACTTCGTTAATAATCTATAAAACCATCAGATTTCCAAACAGTAGCACTCACCTCCCATTTGTCACTGTAGTTCATAAGAGGCCGTTTTGAATGAAATCTATTTTTTCCGTAGGTATATTTCTTTTTTTTATTTTTTCGAGTAGAACAGGAAGACGTTATTCGACTCGTCGCCTTCGGTGTCTATTCTAGGAACTTCTTTTCCTAAACGTATTAGTTTAGTGAGAGGATTCAGCGAATCAAAATATTGGTAGTCGATTTGTGTTTGTATTGCGAGTGGTGTAATATTGTAAGTTTTTTTATAATGTATGCTATGAACTTTGGCAGATATACGCAAATATTAGTTCCTGCAGAAAATATACATGTAAGTTGAGCTTTTTTCTATACAAAAACGTCAAAAAGTGATTATGTCAGCAACTTGCAACAACAAATTAAAACAAAGTACTCTTTGAATTTGTGTAGCTTTTAGATACATGAAAAATAATACTAACATGATAACAATGAAAAATAGTATTAACATTAAAAATTTTGACTGTTTAAAATTGTGAAACTTTATGAAGGCAGACGCTATGCCAACGTTACATATTTCAATATTAGTGTAGTCCGGTATGGTCTAGTGGCTAGGATACCTGGCTCTCACCCAGGAGGCTCGGGTTCGATTCCCGGTACCGGAAAACTTTTTTTATTTTTTTAACAATATTTTTTTCTTTCAGACTACAATAAAAGTGTACGCCAGATGTCTACGTCCCGATATTGAATACAAAACCCTCAGCATCACTTTTCAAACGACCTGTAAGGAAGTTGTGGCGACGTTGCTAGGAAAATACAAGATGAAGCACAGAGATCCGAAGCTGTTTTATCTTTCTATGGAAGTCACGGTGAGGAAAGCTGGTGTGAAGACGCATTTGGCGTTGGACGAAGAAGCTAGACCTGCCGTGCTTCAGAGCTGCCATCCTAAAGGAGATTCCAAGTGAGTATAGCGTTTAATATACCATAAAATGGGGTTACTTTGCACTGAGCAGGGTAACTTTGAACCAAACGTGTAAAAGTATATTTTCTGTAAACCTACGCTCAATTTTGTTTATATATTTGTACTACCTCTAGAGCACATAGGTAACATCGCAATACGTGAGTAAGACGCGCGCGATTGTCTTTGCGGTCGCCCGTTATCTATCAGCAAGGTTAGAATGTTAACCTCGAAAATCTATTATTTTCTAACTTGGCAAAATCATACTGTGCAGACAGTCCCAGCGGACACAACTTGGTAAGTACGGTTTTAAACAAGGATATCAATAACAAAAAATAACATTGTTTACATGTGCACTTAACACGTGAAATTGGGTATACTTTGCAGCGCCAATTTGCAAGTGGTGCAAAGTATCCCCAAGAGTAAAAGGTTAATAGGAAAATGGTATTTCGAAAATGCCCAGACGTTATAAAAGGGAACTGGGATCTCGCAAATATGCAGACTACTCAGAAGGCGATTTGAAAGCATGTCTGTCAGCAATAAAAGATGGCATGAGTACAAGAGTTGCCGCTGAATCCTTTAACATTCCAAGGAGAACTATTTTTTACAAATTAAAGGGAGTACACGCTGGAAACCCTGGATACCCATCAATATTCTCTTATGAAGAGGAAAGGTGTTTCGTACAGTGCATTCATAGCCTTAGTGATGCTGGATTTCCTGTTACTGGAATGAAATTACGACAAATAATCAAGACTCATTTAAATCGCCAAGGAAAAAAAATAACTCGTTTTAAGGATAATACTCCTGGTATGGATTGAGTTAAATCATTTTCAAGTCGTCATAAGAACCTTAGTGCAAGGATAGCCTCAAACATAAAAAGAAGTAGAGCAGCACTCAATGCAGACCAAATGGCTGAATACATACAAAATTTAAAACAAACATTAACTGGTGTAGTCACATGCTATTTTTAATTATGGCGAGACGAACTTAACACATGATCCCAGACAAAAAAAAGGTATTAACTAAACGTGGGGTTAAATATCCTGAACGAATTTGTAACTCTTCAAAAAGTAGCATTTCTCTTATGATGTGTGGAAATGCAGCTGGTGAACTACTACCTACTTATGTGGCGTTCAAATCCAAGCACCTGGACTGAAAATGGCCCCTCTGATAGGCGTTATGCAAATACTGCATCTGGTTGGTTCGAATCATAGACATTTGCAAATTGGTTTAACACTTTTGCCCAGACTTAAAAAAATTCAGGGAATGAAGGTTGTTTTAGGAGACAATTTGTCTTCTCATATTAATGTTGAAGTTCTGGATTTGTGTTTCATTCATTTTACACGACACCACGACATTTATTTTATATGTTTGCCTCCGAATAGCACCCACATATTGAGTGTGCGACGTCCGAAATAAATTAGCTGCAAGAGATGGAAGAAGAAAGCTAGTTTAATGAAAAACTCGCCTCAGGTGAACTGGGAACAAATATTGCCGAAAAAACTCTGCATTAGATCATGTTAAAAAATATATTGGTGAGTACGTTTTATTTGTCTATGAAGATCATGTTTACCTTGGAGTCATAACAGCAATAGAAAATGACGGAACGATGATCAGCGCCATGTCAAAATCGTTTCTTCTTCTTCTTATAGTGCCGTGCACCTATAGTGCGTATGGCGAAATTGGCAAAAGATCGCCAGTTATATTTATGCCTGTCCAGTTTTTATGTTCCGTAGCCACGACATTTGTTTGCGACCTACTCCTCTCTTGTCTTCAATCTTTCCCTTGATGATTAGTTGAGGGATTGCGTATTTTTTTCCTCTCAGAATATGGACGAGGTATCTAATTTTTCGTACTTTGATCAAATTAAGTAGTTCTCTCTCAGTATTTGTCTTTCTTAAGACTTCCTCGTTTCTCACCCTATCTGTCCATAGTATGCGGAACATTCTTCGCAACGTTCACATTTCGAAGGCCTCCAACTTATTAATGGAAGGTACTCTTAAAGTCCATGTTTCTATGCCTTATAACAATATGGACCGTACATAGCATTTAACCATCCTGTAGCGGAGATTGAAGGAAAGATTGCGGTTACATAGTAGCGGTGAAAATTTAATAAAAGCTTGTCTTGCTTGTTCGGTACGGCATTTTATTTCTTGTTGAGGATCCCATTGGTCATTCATCATCATTCCCAAGTATTTAATCGTTTAAGTGTTGGAAATGTCCAGAAAGACGCGACGAAAAATGGTATTCGTGGGACAATCATCATCATCATCCAGCCCCATTTTCACATCCATTGTTGGATATAGGCCTCCTCCAAACGTCTCCAGTTCTCTCTATCTCTAGCTGCTGCAATCCAGTTTGTTTCTATTCTCCTTAGGTTGTCGGTCCATCGGGTGGGTGGTCTGCCTCGACTTCGCTTGTCGGCTCTTGGTCTCCACTCCAATTATCTCTTCTGGTGGGACAATGTCACACAATAAATCCTCCCAAGAAAATTTCCAGACGAGGATTTTACATTGTTCCAGAATGAGACAAATTGTGGTGGGATTAGATTCAAACTTTGTATTTTCACTATTGTAATTACATAATATAGTTTGTTCATTTAAAATATAGCAATATTCTTTCCCGTTAGGCTTCTTTCATAAATGTAGGTAGGTTTATATTCAAAAAATTTGGCCGACCAACATTTTTTTGCATTTAAATGGTGCAAAGTTTAAAATCAGATAGGATGACTATGCACCAGCAAACATTTCGTAGCCAAATATTATTAAAATATCTTCTTTTTAATGTGCCCTATCAAGTCCCCTTGACGTTGGCGATTAACATGGCGAAACTGTCTCTGTCTCGAGCTATTCTAAATAGTTGCTCAGCTTTCTTTATTCCTGTCCACTCCCTGATATTCTTCAACCAAGAGGCCTGCTTTCTACCAATTCCTCTGCGTCCTTCGATTTTACCCATCATAATAAGTTGAAGAATATTATATCGGTCTCCTCTTACTACGTGTCCAAAATAGGCCATCTTTCTACATTTGATATTATCAAGCAGCTCGCGAGCAGCATTTGCTCTCTCAAGGACTGCCACATTTGTCAGCATAGCCGTCCATGGAATTTTTAGTATACGTCTGTGCAGCCACATTTCAAAGGCCTCCAGACGATTAATGGTGGATATTTTTAATGTCCATGCTTCCACACCGTATAAGAGGACTGACCAAATGTAGCATTTAACCATGCGCTTTCGAAGTTGAAGTGGCAAGTTATCGTTACAGAAGAATGACCTCATTTTTAAAAATGTCGTGCGGGCTATCTCGATTCTACATTTTATCTCTTGATCTGGATCTAGTTCTTCAGTAATATGGCAACCAAGATATTTAAAACTGGACACTCATTGAATTATATGACCATCAACATATAATCGTGCATCTTGATGTGCTAAACGGCTAAACACCATGTGTTTTGTTTTTGAACAGTTTATGTTTAGTCCAAACTCTCTTCCCACTGTGTCAATGGCATTTAAAAGGCATTGTAATCCATTCATGTCATCACTTAAAATAACTGTATCGTCTGCATATCTGATTGTATTTATCAGAATTCCATCAACTTTCACGCCCCATTCCAAATTATGCAGCGCTTCTTTAAATATTCTATCTGAATATAAATTAAATAACAGCGGGGATAGTATACAACCCTGTCTGACACCTCTTTGTATTTTACATATTTCTGTTGATTTTCCGTTTATGCAAGCTGTCGCTATTTGACGCCAGTATAACTTTCTATGAATCGTATGTCTTGACTATCAACTCCTTTATCTTTTAATATTGTAATTATTTGTGATGTTGTACTCGATCAAAGGCCTTTTCATAGTCAGTAAACACAGCAAAGACGTCTTTCCTTTGATCTCGACATTTCTGCAGTAATACATTTAGTGCAAAGAGGGCGTCCCGAGTTCCCAGTCCATTTCTGAAGCCAAATTGTGTTTCATCCTGGTCTTCTTCACATTTATCTCTGATTTTACTGTGGATGATGCGTAGAAATATTTTCAAAGTGTGGCTCATAAGGCTTATCTTTCTATAATCGCTACAGTTTTTCGAACGTTGTTTTTTTGGTAGTGTTATGAATTCGGACTTTAACCAATCTTCAGGAATATCACCCATCGAATAAACATCATTGAAAAGCTTGACCAGTATTCCAATGTTCTCCTCATGTATAAGCTTTAACATCTCTGTCGGTACGTTATCGGGGCCAACGGCTTTCTTGTTCTTTGCTAACTTTATAGCATGCAGTATTTCTGATTTTAGTATTTCTGGTCCTTCACCTTCAACTAAAGTATCCGGTTCTTCGGGTCTATCATCATTATACAGTTCACTTATATAATTACACCAGGTTGTTCGAATTTCATGTTCGTCTATTATCATTTTCCCGACGAATCGGTTATAGTATGTGGAGTTTTCTTATGATAAAGACCAGCTACTTCTATAACTTTTTTAAACATATTAAACGTATCATGTTTTTCATTCAACTTTTCTAATTCCTTGCATTTATCCTCCATCCATTTTTCTTTAGCCACCTTTATTTTTTGTTTAATTAGTTTTTGTTTTTCCTTATATTCTGTCTTGTTACCTTTCAGTTTCCTTCTCTGCTCGAGTGCTCGATTAAAATATCAAGTGGTGCAAAGTGTGACTCTTCTAGGTTATACTTTGCACCACTAATAAAATTAGGATAATCTCTTAATTATACAATATAACTAAAAAACAGCTATAATAAGAGCTATATTACGACCTGTTGAATAGATATTTATAGTAAAAAGTTCAGATCTTCTTTCGAGTAATGCTATATTCACTCTGAAAATGAAACTAAAAACTATGGTGCAAAGTAATCCCGTTTTACGGTGCCTTTTTAGTTCATTCATCTTTTGATTGCATTTTTTATCTTCTCTTTGTATTATATACTTTATTTTCTAATATTTTACTCTGTTTCAGGTTCTCCCTTCAAACCCGCCGTGGAGGACTAGTAAAAATCTACGATTCAGCTTTGAACAACAACTCCCAGTACAAGAGTCTCCTGATAAGTGCCAGAACGACATCAGATGAAGTCATCTCCTTGCTGCTGACTTGTAGCAACAGCAAGGAGAGAGTAGAGCAGTTTTCCATCTATGAAGTCAACACGGATCGAGAACAACAAAGGAAACTACACCCAGATGACAGGCCTCTTCAGGTTCAACAGACGTGGCTTCCATCCCACCAGTGCCATTTCCTCATCAGAAGGAATCCTGATTACTTGCCGTTATCTAGACGAAAGGTTGGTATATTGAGTAACTTTTTAGTTATCTATATCACAACTCTATCATGCCAAATTTAAGAGGATGCTCTTTAGCGCGATACAATTCCTTGCACTATAGAAGCTTTTGTTGTCTTTCATATCAATTGGCCAGTCTCTCATAACTTTTCTGACAATTTGTGCTTGAACTAAGTGATCATTTTTTTGTTAAATTGAAAGTAAATTTAGATACACAATATGTTCTTAAGTTAATCTATGCATAATATTTTTCTTTTTTTTTTTTCTAAATTATCCTCCACTACTTCGCTTTCTACTACGACCAGAAGTTTACAAGTAAATAAAATTTATAACTAAATAATATTTTGTTGTTTCAGATATTCTGGGTGTCAGAACTGCCTCCTTTGCCGGTTTCCCGAACGTTCAGAACGTCACAGCCCATCTCCCTGCCACACACTCACACTAGCAACAGCAACAACAATAACTCCTGCAATAGTTTAATACCGTTTTCCCGATCTCACCAATCAACAACGCCCTCCACCGAAAACCAAAGCGAGGAAAAACTAAAACAAAGTGAAAAACCCAAACAAAAAGACGCTACCGTTGTGAAAAACAAAAACTCCAACTTGAAAATCTGGAGCAGTAGTTCGCAACTTTCCAAAAGTGATAGTGAACAGTCATATGCGGACTACGAAAACTATTTTTATATTTAATTTTTTGGTACCTAGATCTTTGACAAGCTCGAGATATTATGGGTTATTTCTATATTGTCGTCTTCACGTAATATATTAAAGTTGACGTCATGCTATCATTGTTCTAACCTCAAAAGATAACTGACTATCATTACTATGATTTATACACCTGAGATAACTCATACTCAAGTCAAATTGCTTTATCCTCGAGCTTGCCTTTGAAATAGACAATTTTGTAATATTATTTTTGTTATGATTTGTTTTTTTGTAAAATTTTGTATATATTCTACGTGTGTTATCTAGTTTTTTATGTGATATGCAGCTTGACGTTTGTTTTGAAACCAAAGAATCTTTATTGGCAGCTATTCAAAAATGTTTTGTGTACTGTGGATCATTCTTCCAAAATACATCAAAAGTTGTTCTTTATCTATTGATATTCTGTCTGTAAATTTATATATCTACTTTTTGAAAAAAAAAACTTTTAGCCTAATTGTATTAGAAAACGTCTGCAAAATGTTTATATATCTATAAATGACATGTAAATACTTCATACGGGTGTTGTTAGTCCCGTAGAATTTTTGTTACCATTATTTTTTTTTATCACTTTTAGAAAGTTATCAAAACATGCACATAGGAATACAAATACCTAGGGATACTGTTATTATAATTCTCATGTAAAAGTGTGTAACCTCAAATGTATTGTCCCTACTAGTTATACTATTTACAATACACTATCTCTTATGTTACCCTCATCTTATTCTTTATTCAAGTATCTTGAGCTATGAATGTTTCATTTAACTCTGTTTTTCAATAGATACCATTTTGTACTTAAATAATACTAACGAAAGATTAAATTTAGCTCAAAATTTCTTTTTCCTGGCTCATTCTTACTATTTATATATTTATTTTCTTTTGTTTTGTGAGCATTCAGGTTTTTTTGTGCTGGCACCACTTGTTTTAAAAAATAATATGTTTCTGTTAAGAATTTAATTAATATGTTATTTCCCATAGTGTAATGCACCTCACGAGGAGTTCAACAAACGAATGTAATTCTCCCGTAAACGAAAATTTATCAAAAATAATTCATTGACACACAAAGAACTCATTTTCTCGAAAAAATAATAACCTCAAATGTATCACACCTACTAGTTATACTATTTACTATAGAGTTATAAAATTTATTGAGTTAAAGTCAATGTAAAGCTATTGATAAAAAAGAATCTTTTAGGTCTTTGCTAGTACTGGAAAATGTGTCTGTGAAATAATTTCGATGAATAAACAATAAATATAACTGCTTGGTAATTCTATCATTGTTCAGTCGATGAATTTTATCTCGGTGAGCTGCATAGATGTAGTATTTCTTAATGTTTTATCATCAGCAATTCTGTGTATTTTCTTTTTAAAACTTAACGTCTTCTTCTTAACTGACATGTGTAATAAAGAATAATCTACTAAAATGCTTAGCCAAAGAGTATTTTTAAGGTGTGTTTGGGTTTCAAAATTATAGTGCAATTGCTGTGGAGAGAAAAAGCCGCAGTGCCTCTTGTATGATACGGAATGAGTGAATAATTTTAATGTTTGTGTCAATTAGGAAGATAATTTATTAGGTATACTAAGGGGATCCACTAATCTTTTACTTTTTTGTCACTTCTTTTCTGTAATTGAATATTGCTTCTAGGTCCACAAAAAGTAGAGTAAGTTTGAAGATTTGTGGTTCCTGCTGTAACAAATTTTATATTCTTTAATAGAAATACAGATGTTTATTACATTATTCATTTATAGAATATAAAAGTTGAATATTGAGTTGTATATCAGTGTTGTATGTGTATTTTATGTTAAACCAAAGAATTGTGTATTTTGTAAATATGAAGTATTGTCAATGATATTGTGTAATAAAAAATTGTCTTTTTTTATTTCTTAGTATTATTTACTTATCCCTTAACTAAAAACTTATTTGAAAGGAAGATACACTTCATCTAATTTATATAACGATGCACGTCATCGGCGTCATAGCCTGTGACGTTACATGATACCAACACAAAATATTTAGGGTGTAGGTGTGTTCTTTTTTAGAATCACTTTACCGAGTACACTGGCATTACAGCCACTAGACATATTTTATTATATACGCATAGAAATAATATTTAAAAATTTCTATTAATGTTAACTTAAACAAATACACAATAATATGTTTCATTTAATTTGTATAAATGCATTATAAAGCGTTTTTATCAAGAACATATTTGTTCCATGATATAAGGAAACATGGTATGCTCACGCGCATCTATTTTGAACAGCCAATCACGTTTACGACCAAAATCCGCCATTTTGAAGGCGGCAATTCAAATATGTACAAAATTGATACGAAATATCGTAGTTAAATTAAATAAAATAAAATTAATATTCTACATTAATCCAATTAATTCAGATTTAAAATGATCTGAACAGACTCTTGCTAAAATAATTTTAAAAAGATCGAAACAAATTTACTTTTAAATTCCAATACATTGCAAAGTAAGGTTAAAAATGCAAAACAAAGCAGACGTCAAGCATGTAGAGGTGGTTGATCCAAGTATTTTTGTGGATCAGGTCAAACTGATACGCGTAAACAAATATACCTGTTAAAAAATACTGGTTTGGAAATCAGTTTGTTATCATTCGTTTAATAGATATCTAAACATAACGACAACATTATTTGTATTTTGTTAGATTTCTTTATAGTTATTTAAATGACTGTTTAACTTCAAATACTTAAATTACTGTTATTCAGAGATTGTATAAAAAGTTCATAAAAAAATGGCGATAGTTTTGTCTACTTCACGCCAATTGTCATCTGTTGATATTTATCTAAAGCTTTGTAAACTTTGAGAAATGCACGATAAATATTAAGGACAAATGCAATGAATCCCGTACTCATTTATTATAATATATTGGTGTTAGGGATCAGTTCCACAAGTATAAATAAAATACATGTTCCAAAGTAACTGGTACGGGATCAGGTCACCATCCCTACACGCACGGACATATTGAAAAGATGGTGGATTTTGGTCGGCGCAGAAATGTGCAAAAACGAGTCCACCTAGTGAGCATACCTTGTTTCCTTATATCATGATTTGTTCGGAACACACTGTAACTGTAATCGAACAAAGCTAAAATTTTGGCATAAATTGGTAACACTTATTTGACAGTTGCGGTGTTAACACTTTTTGTACTTCATTATTTTGAATTTTAAAGTGAATATCTCTTGTTTTATATTTTTAACTATTTAATAAAAACTGTTCTTTTTAGAACAAAATTAGTGTGTTTTATTTCAAAAATGTCACGTAAGAATTTAAATAGTCGTTGTAAAGAGATGGTAATACTTTTGCAATAATTATGTAATCTATTTGATTTAAAATGGAGTCAGGATTTTTTTATACTTTGGCAACTATGTCAACTTCGATCTCTGACGTAGATAATGACGTAAGTCGTTATCTAAATTAGATGAAGTATACTTAAGATAGAAGAAGTTAGGTAAATGGAAACATTACTACTTAGAAAAAATTATTAATTGTATAAAACTATCCAGCACTAATATATTATTTATTTCTATTTTTATTTTTTTTTTAATAAAGTAATCATTGGCATCAAAAAGGCAAAGTTTTAAGCTTCTATTAATTTGTCACTTGATTAAAGACTCTACTAATTAATTTGATTGTCATAGATATCCACGAAGTAAAACAAGAAAAAGATTACGTAATTAAAAGTATCTGTCTACATTGGCGAATCCTGGTCTTAAGGGTGATTTTGATATAGGATTTAGACTTTTGCACATTTATGATAGATATCATTTGTGCTTCATGTAAGGGAACCATTTTCTCAATAATTTATTTTAAGCGATATATTAAATCAACGAGAAGTTATTAAAACCCAAATACCCTTCGGTTGCAAAGAAGGATACAACATTAAGGGGTCTTAAACTTAAACCAAAAAAAAAATTATACCCACTTACTCTATGACACTAAAATATTCAAGTTTACAAGAATATTAAACCAAAGGAAAGTTATTAAAATATAAATATTGAAAAATCAAGGACTGTCAATTTAAAATAAGCATTTAAATCCTATGGCTACAAAATCAAGAACAAACCAAGGATAAATAAGTATAAACCAAAGTTAAGTAATTTAAATGCAATAATTCAATGTAAGTGTAAATATATCAATGTATTAAGTATTCCTAATAAATTCTCTCACTCTAAAAAGTAAAATCATAAATATAGTGCAAACATTATATTGGAACCAAAGTGCCATAGTTCCAATTGATGGGCAACACTCAGAAGAAATGAGGATCTGTAGAGGAGTTAGACAGGGATGTGTGTTATCACCACTTTTGTTTAACTTATATTCTGAAGAAATTTTCCAAAACACGCTCAATAATATCGAAGCGGGAGTGATCATAGCAACGAGTATAGAGGATCTACAACATCTTATCGAAAGCTTGAGTATAAATAGTGCTGAGATGGGAATTACTATAAACGCCAAAAAAACGAAGTACATGCTGATTACAAAAAGGCCACAAAATATACATCACCTATTGACAATAAATGGTAACGTGATAGAACAAGTAGAAAAATATCAGTATTTGGGAACTTTGATCAATGAAACCAAATGATCATACTGTAGAAATAAACAGACGAATAGAGATTGCCAGATCAGCATTTATACGAATGAAGCCACTCCTAACGTGCAAAAATCTAAATTTGGAGATCAGACTACGTACCATTCGCTGTTATATATTTTCAATATTATTATATGGAGCTGAGACTTGGACATTAAAAAAATGTAATTTAAAAAGAATCGAGGCCTTCGAACTCTGGTTATACCGCAGAGTATTGAAAATATCATGGACTGATAGAATTACAAATAAAGAAGTACTGGAGAGGGTTGGTAAAGAAACAGAACTAATCACCACTATACAAACCAGAAAACTGGAATACCTAGGCCACGTGATGAGGGGACCAAAATATGAAATTTTGAGACTGATAATACAGGGAAAGATTCAAGGAAGAAGATCTGTGGGCCGAAGGCAGAACTCATGGTTAAAGAATCTACGTGATTGGTACCAATGCAGATCGATTGATTTGTTTAGAGCAGCAAGTTCTAAAATAAAAATAGCCATTATGATTGCCAACCTCCGTAGGGAGACGGCACTCTAAGAAGAATAAACTCTATCTTATCATTGGATATCCGATATCAATTTGTAAAAACATTCATTTATTCCATATTGCTATACGGAGTAGAAACATGGACTCTCGGAATTACAAGTATGAGAAGTTGAAGAAGGATGCTAAAGATTTCGTGGACAGCAACAACGAGGTGCTGAGAAGAATGAGGACTAAAAGAGAACTTGTAAAGTTTGAAATGTGGTAAGCAACAGAAAAACAGGTTATCTAGGATATATTTACAGAGGAGAAAAATATCTACGATTCATAATGGAAGGGAAAAACGAAGGAAAAGAGTCTAAGAGACTGGACAGGCATGGACACACTTTCGATACTAAAAACAGCTCAAGATAGAGAGCAATTTGCTATAGCCATCCTTCCGTAATGAAGAAGAAACCTTAAGAAGAAGTGTAAACAGCATTTTATTTAAATTAATTTATTCAACAAAAAACATAATATAATTTAAAAATAGTTATTTCTATAATTAGGCATATTGGGCTACAAGTGAGTGAAATATTTTTTTCTTCAAACGTCAAATAATGATGACATTACTTATCTAACTTGATCCTGTCAAAGTTTGATGTCTCCGCCGGCAGCAGTTTTTTCCCATTTCTTTATGGCGGAGGGAAAAATGTTGTCAAGGCAACAATATGAAACATGTCACAAAGCAACAATACAAATGTCATTAACAACAATTAAAAATCATTTTTATTTATAGTAATATTAAAATTACAATTAGTTAATGAGGCATTTTCAAAATTGAAACCGTGCAAAAATGTTCCCGACTCTTGATACGCATTGGTAATTGTTGATGATACTGATGGTCGAGAACAACTTTCAGCAATCATTCCCGATGTTGACGGCTTGCGAACAACAATAAGCTGTCTTTAATAATTGCAAACAACTGTAACCAGGGAGACGCAAATCCCACCGACGACTTAATTATTTTAATTTCTAACATCTAGACGACTTTGATAGTTGTCACAGTTAATTTCGAGTAAAAATAGCGTATGAATTGTACTATTTATGGTTGAAAATTGCTACGTTTGAAGAAAAAATAGTATACTTCTATTACGTGCCTCACGTCGTTCGGCGCGTAATATTGGGCGCGTCAAGAAAAGTCATGCTTCTCCGCCTTATAAAGTAATATACTATTTTACCCGATATTCAAATTTTTCTCACGAATTGTCAGCAACAGCCGGCAACGAGTGGTAAATAAAAGTTCAGTGATTAAAAATACTATAAGAATAAGATAAGTAAATATATAATTTTATAAAATGTATTCTTTTCGCCTATCCCATTTTGCAAATCGCTCTATAATTGCATCAACATCTAAAATTTCAGGTTGCACATTGATAAGTGCTAAACCAGTTAACCTTTCCTCCGAAGTTCTATTTCTAAGCCAAGTTTTTAGACGCTTAAGCGTAGAAAAACTATGCTCTGCTGTTGCTGCACTGACTGGCAGTGTTATTAATATTTACAGAAATATTTTAATATTTGGATACATATATGAATATCGGAGCTTTCTAATACTTCTAAGATAGAATCAGTCAGTTTTCCATTATTTTGTACGACTCTTTTCCACTTTTGATTTCTTCTTCTTATGGTGCCTATTGGTTACGGATGTTGGACACTAACATGGCTATTTGTTGACTGCTGCTCTGAAAAGTCCGGTAGTGGTTAAGTTAAACCATTTTCGCAGGTTATGCAGCCAGGATATTCTTCTCCGTCCTGGACCTCTTTTCCCATGCACTTTACCTTGAACTATGGTCCGAAGTAGGTCATATTGTTGTTCATTGCGCATTATATGGCCCAGATATTCTAGTTTCGCTCTTTTCGCGCTCTTTACCCATTCTATGTAGTACGTCTTCGTTGGTAATTCTGTCTATCCAGGAAATCCTCAACATGCGTCTATAGCACCACATCTCAAATGCTTCAAGTCTCTTCAGTGATTATTCAGTTAAGGTCCATGACTCCACGCCATGTAAAAGAACGGAAAATACGTAGCATTTTAGTAAACGAACTTTTATTTCCAATTTTATGTCGCGAATTACTTTTGATTACGCAGTGAAAACTCTTGTTCTACTGTGGAATATGTAGTAGATGATCCAATAATATCTTGGAAAGTATGAACATGTTTATTTAATGCAACTTTATCTTCTGATGTGTTATCAGTTTTAGGTAAAACAGCTCGAAGATTAAATAAATTCATAACTTTCGGTGAAAGTCGTTCTTCTAAATCAGTTAAGATATTGTCTAAAAGTAGTAAATAAATAGATCTTCGGAAATATTCTTCGCAAGAGTCAGCAGGTTGGTTTTGACAATAGGTTTAATAAGAAACTATACGGGGCATCTTCAATTCAATGTCTAGTTGTACAGCCATTTCCTTTACTTCATAGTAAAGTTTGCTAAAAACAGATTCAGCATTTGATCTCTAATTCGAAGAATGCATTTACTGTCCTCTATGGCCTCAGTAGCCTTCTTTAAATCTAATTTTGGTGACTGAAGAAGACATCACTAAGACAAACTACTGAAATTCTGGTCTCCTAATAGTTTGCATTAATGAAAATGCATCAGCTGTCATTTTACTGTTCTTCCACGTAACAATTGTTTCAAGAGAGTTGATATTTTGATGATTGATGATTCGCCCTGGAACTGAAGATGACCTTCATGCCTTTCAACCCAACAGTTTCACAAATACCTTTATTTTTAGTCACTAACGTATCAGACAGACAATTATAAAATGTAACACACAGTCTCAACAATTAAGTATAATACATATTTCAATTACAAACAACCAATTCGTAGACAAAACTGAAGATAAGAAATACTTAATACAAAATAAAAATGTGCTGATTTCAAGCGAAAAGTCATGTCATGTACATTTAATGAGCAATAATGTGTGGAGGGTAATTCTATTTCATCGATAATCGAACGATTCTCTGGCACTCAAATGACGAATTGACAAAATTTGAAAATCGCGTAACTCTGAATAGCGTTAGTCGAAGTATTACTGCATTCAGAATTGTTGATTTTTTTAAAGAGCAATGTAAAAAGGCTTCCGCATAATTCTACACTTGCCCCTAGAATAAATGAGTTTGAATCATTGCAACTCCTGACTTCCTGCTTATAGGGTTGATGGGTTTTTAATTATATTATTTGATTGATATTTTATTTTGTTTGGGGGGGGGGAGTTCATGACCTTCCTTGGATCCACCACTGTCTCTCTAACGTATTTTGTAAGATAATACAATTACTAACTCAAAATTACAGTCTTTTGGAGTCCTTTTTACCAATTATCTTCTATCGCTCTGATAACCTAGCCTATTTCTTTTAATCATACACGGTAATTAGCCAACTTTTACATTAAATAATTTTCTGTCTACTAAGTTTTTTCTTAAAGTTTTGTATTTTTGTGCATTTTAGATTTACCTTCCTTCTCCTAAATTTATAGTTGAGCATTACAGAGACGTCAAAACGCGTCCAACGTTTTAAATAATAAAGAATTTTTACAATTTTGTGGTTTCACTTCGAGTTGTAATTGTATTAACAATATTACAACTTTAAAGTTTGATTTCGAATAATTAATTTCTAAAAGGAAATATTAAAACTGATAAGTAAACTGTAGAATTTTAATAGTTTGGTGAATGCGCGATCAATGTAATGTGTTGCTGGTTGCATAAATTCATGGCGGATTCGTAATCCCTTAGTCTAAATATCCATCGGTCATAGTATTAACCAATATGCCACAAAATTTTTAATTAGTTGCATAGTTAAATTTAATAAAACACTAAATAGTACAGGTTACGATACAAATTTAAACAGATAAAGCTAAAATAGCTTTAGAAGAATATTAAATATTTGTATTGTAAGTTGTAAGACAAAATTTAAAAGATTTTAAAGCATCAGCCCATTAAGAGAATTTGTTTAATTCACACAATTAAATGTTTAGTCGAATCCACATCAAATGTTTCCAAAAACAGATTTAAATACCTACTTAAATAAAATAAAATTATTATATATTATAAAGATTTTGTTGAATAAGTTTTGATTTGCTGTATTATTGGGTGCATAACTAATAGGAAAAAATTACAAATATGAAGAATTTTATTTTTTAAATAAATGCATAATGTGGAACATAAAATGTTTTTACAGTAATTATTGTAAATATAGGATTATAATAGACACTTGTATAAATACCAGGTCGAAAATCAAAACGTTTTATAGAGAATTTTTTTTATATACAACCTGCAAACAGAAATATTTACTATTAATTTTAATATTACTAATAATTAAAATGTTTTGATAAATATGTGATAAAAATGAATATAACGGTATTAAAGTATTCATTTCAATCTAAATTATTGTACATAAAAAAATTGATGTCTAATAGTTATGCAACACAATACGCATTTTGTTTAAATCTTATCAAAATATTAAAATAATATCAACAACAAATAAATACTACGAAATTCTGTATTAATACTCCATACACTTTATTAATTTGGCGAATGAATTTAGTGTCCGCAGTCATTTAAACACAAACAAACAACAACAACACTTTATTAACAAATAATTTAACGTCATGTTATCAAAAAGTATCGAGACGGCTATGAAAAATAAATCTTTCCAAATTTGACATTTTTGAATAGTTGTTTCCATAGATAAATAATATAATAGTACAAAGTTGTTTCATAATATTATCTTGTCTTCATTGGGATACTTCTCAAGTATATTGATATAAAGATGGAGATGAACTTGGTAGATAATTTAAAAAAACTGAAGGAAAAATTTAGAAACGAAGACGCCGCGTTTGATTCAGTAGATATGGAAAAATGTTTACGAGAATTTAAAACTGAGCTATTTGTTAAAAGGGTAAGTATTATAAGTATAAATAACTACGACTGAAGGAACATTATTGTTTTTAGGATCAAGTCAAACAACTAAGAAGCGACTTGGATCTTTCAATGGCGGAAAATGCAGAGCTGAAAAAAAGTTTAGATAGTGCAACGAAAGCTTTGGACGAAAGAAGCTTTAATCTCAATGTTGTTAGTAAAAAGTTTCGAAACGCCGAAGATGAGCTCCTGGACAAAACGGATAAATTGAATACTGTCCAAATGCAGTATAAATTGATGGTAAGTCTCTCGCCTACTTGTTTGTACAAATGTATCTATTGACATTTTTAGGTGAAGGAAATGGAAAAAATGAAGGAACATTTACAGATAAATGAAGCAGAAAAGTTGGAGTTGTCCAGAAAATTAGAAGTTTTTGAAACAAAGCATCGTCAGAGCTTTATTTATCATAACCAAATATTAAAAAGAGAGAATGCATTGATGAGCACCATCGAAGAAGTAGGAGAGTAAGTTTTTGTTTTTGCCTCTTAAAGATATGTTAAGAATTTGCATAAATCCCTGTATTATGTTTGTAGAATGGTTAAAATGCTTAAGTCGGAAGTGGGCGAAGTAAATGAATTTCACGAGAAGACTAAGTTAGCAGAAGAGTCACTAGAAAAATACCAACAGCTTATTCGTAGCTATGATAAGCTGAAAAAAGAAAAAGACTACATTCAGGAGCTATATATAAAGATAAATGGTAAGAAATTTATAGTCTTTAAAATTAATTGCCTCCCTAGGCTTGTTTATGACAATTACCGAATTGTCACGAGCTAATAGTAGCTATTGTTGTTTAAGAATTCTGTAGGGGAAGGGTGGGCAAAGTGGCCATGAGGTGGCCATTTTACCCAAAATTTAAACTGAATTTCTATACTAAATGAAAGTGTATTTTCAAAATGAAAACATTGCCATCGTAGAAAAAGAAAGTTTCACACCGAGTTTATTTACACAATAAAGTCACAAAATAGCGTCACAAATAAACTCATTGTTTTCTTCTTCACACCCAGCACAAGCTTCATGTGCCCATGGTAAACAGCTTCATCCATTCTTTATTTCCCCTTGACTTGGAATATAAGTCCCCGCAGAAAAGGCAATCAGTATCACTCACGTCACTGAGCACGCTTCGCTGATTTGGATTTCATTTTCTGCTTTCCTTTAAATTTTTCTTTGCTTCCTTCATTCGTCTTGTTACTCTGCTTTCCTTTTTTCAGTTCCAGCTTTATTTTTTTTCAGCCTTTACTTTTCTTCTTTTTCTGCTTTTCCGGCTACTAGTTCCATCCTGAAAGGGCTTGAGGTCAAAACTGCAGCTGCTCCTTTTTTTTCGCTTATTTTCTCGTTTGATAATATTTGCTTTAGGGATTGGGACAATAACCTGTGGGCTTACAGCAAAAGTATAGTGCCCCTTGCCCTTGGAGTTGCTAATTAAATCACATGAAGTACTGAAATAAGGCAGTGGACTGGACTGGAATGTTGAAGTACTTGGTTTTGAGTGTTTAGAGATTAGAACGAATGTAGTTTAAATCTCCAGATCCTACAGTGACATTTTGTCTGTGTTCACTGAAAAACATAGGAACTAAAGCGTTGGATGCAGAGGTTACTGGTCGGAAATCTATCTCTCCAGAAGGCGAGATCTCTTTACTTGCAAGTGGTGTCAATGGACGTCGAGGAATATTTTGTTTCAAATCTTCCAAATCTTTTCCTGGCACCAGAGTAGAAGTTTCCTCTTGGTATTCAACACCCAGTTCTAGTAATCTTCAGTCAGTAATCTTCTGTCTGTTTATAAGAACTATTTTCAAACCCCTTTACCGCAATAGTTTGAGTAGCTGCAAATGGAAATACCTCTCCAATAAGTTTAGATACCTGATACTGTGTCACTAATCTACCGGGATTATTACGAAAGAATCTTTCGATCGCTTGGACATAATAAGTATTGAAGTGCTCCATGAAAGAAACATCGAGTGGCTGCAGATTATGACTACAGAAGTGGGGAGGGGAAATGCAAACTACAGTTGTGTGATTTTCTCTAGCTCTTTTAATGAAATCTAGATTTAGTGTATGAGTAGCATGCCCATCAAGTATGAGCAAAACTGGTTCGTCTTCGGATGGCTTCGCAAACTTCAAGAAATGGTCAAACCATTGTGTGAAAATCTCAGTTTGCATCCACCCTGAAGGATGACAAACAAAAGCTGTTCCAGGTGGAGCGCCGTCTTGAAGTTCCACTTTCATCCGCTGTCTAGGGAAGATGATAAAAGGAGAAATAAAAACTCCATCAGCTGACATAGAAATTACAAATATGCTGAGAACACCAATCTCTGCAGATATAAGAGATCCGACTTACCGTCACCCTTTTAGAGCAAGAGGCTTTAGAAGACTGTCACTGGACAGTCACAAGTCCAGTTTCATCAAGATAGTAAACCCTATGAGGAGGATACAAGTGATGTTTTTGAACATCTTCCAAAATGTCAAAAAACTTGGTTACATTCGTTTTGTTAAATGCTTGCGCCCTTGCTGCTGAAGCTTCCTCAGGTTTTTTAACACAAGTTCAGGATGGCGCTTTCTAAAACCAGTTACCAAATCTTTTCCTGCTAATTCCGTTTCTTTATTGAAACCATGGGGTATGTTATTCCGTTCAGCCGTTTTAGTGTGTTCCTCTGATATTTTCACACTATCGCTAGAGCTAAAAAAACTGTTTTTAGTATTACATGATAAATAGCATTCAAATACGAAAGTAACACGGCGTTTTTACCTTAAATAAAACTACAATAATCGTATATAGTAATGTTAATTTATTGTATCATGTAAATACATAGTACAATAAGTGATCTTGGAATATAATTACTAGTCTACATTATTTGTTAAAATAGATTTGTTGCAGGTGAAAACCCCTAAACCAGACTTTAATCCGTAAGAATTCAAATAAAACACACTCTATTATACTGTTTGAAATGCTCAATAGTTTTGTAAACAACACACAATACTTTTTCAATGAAAATATATTTTACTTTATGTCGGGCATAGTGACCATAGACTTGGCTACTTTGCACTCTTCGCCACAGTTATATAAATGCCACACTACGGGCTAAACGAATTAAGCAATGGCGATACACAGACACACCGTTTTGTAGCCTAAATACACCTCTTTTAAGACGTTACTATCATTTTCCTGTATTATGAATGAAAGTTTGGTTGTAATAATTAATTAAATACACTTACCTTATATCAGGATGTTTAAAAACACAAACATTTTTAATAACTTTTAAACAAATGATCAGAACAGCTAACATATCTAAGATGACGTTCAAATGAAAGTTACATTCCCTACATATTACATAATTTTTTATTTTTTAGTAAAATATGATATGTTGGAACATCTCCTTAGCTTAAATGAAGATATCCAGGAACCCAATTTAGTTAATAGCATCATTTTCAATCAGGTTTGCCTCTTCACTGTATATTTTTTTGTTTTCTTTAGTGAGAGCGCTCACCAAAGTGGCGTGGCAAGTAGCACGCGTCTAGAATGTTTCTTAAAATGTAACCAATGAAAACGAATGATTCAGCGCACACCAAAATAGTTTTGGAGACGCCCACAAACGCCAGTTTGGTGGGCGCTCTCTCTTAGCGAGAGCGCCGACCAAAGTGGCGTGGCACGTAGCAAGTAGCACGCGTCTAGCATGTTACATAAAATATAACCAATGCGAACGAATTATTAGATCGAATAACGTCACTGTCATTTTGGTGTGCGCTGAATCATTCGTTTTCATTGGTTACATTTTAAGAAACATGCTAGACGCGTGCTACTTGCTACATGCCACGCCACTTTGGTGGGCGCTCTCCCTTAGATATATCAAAGGTTTTCAGCTCATTAAATTTGTTTTTGTGGAAATTTTGTTTTTGAAATATTTTATTTTAAAAATACTCACAATAATACAATATGTTCGTTGCCAAACTATAAAATTGCTCTCATTACATAATTATTATAATTATAAAAACAGTAATAAAAATTATATGGAATTATCTGTTTACATTTGTAATATATTGAAGACTTGTCAATGTTATATATAATTTATATTTATTTCCCAAAGATCGACATACATTTTTCTACAAATATAGGCAAAGGTGGTATTATGGGCTATTGGTGGCAATATGGGCTACCCGGCTACCCTATTATCTGGTAAACAAGCTAGCGAATTCTAGCGGTGAACGCAGGAACTATAAATTGTAACTTTTGTGAGAGCCGCTAGGAAGCTGAATGCATTTAGTTAAGCAGTAGTTGAGTGACTGACGTTTTTGTGAAACTGAAAACTTTGAAAGGTAGGGATTTATAGTGTTTTACAAGTATCAATTATTGTGTGTATATTGCCGAACATGAATTAGGTGTCGGCATTATATTGACAAAAAAAGTGAGAAAATCTGTTGACAACTTCATCCCAATCTCAGCAAGAGTGCTCATACAAGTGAAAGCAAGACCAATCGACATCAATATAATTCAAGTGTATGCACCTACAACAGAAGGAACAGAAGAAGAGGTAGAAAAACTATACCACAGCATTAATCAAGTCACGAAAGGTTGAAAAAGCAAGACGTAACAATCGTCATAGGTGATTTCAATGCCAAAGTTGCAATAACATTGTGAATTTTACTAGACTAAAACATGCTCTGAACATTCCAAGTTCCTATTCTAGTGTTGGACAGTATTTTTTCTCATCTATGTTCTTTTGACAAGGAATTCGCTGATTAACGACCTGAGAGTCCTTGTCTTCTTCTCCTCTGCCAGATCTTGGCTTCCGAGGGCTATGATCAGTAACGCCGTTATTAGTTTCTAAAACTATGATGATTGTACTAGGGATTTCCATGCGGATCTTTAATGTAGTGGTTTCCCCTTGCCTTCTACATCCTTATGCCGTTGACCAAGATATTGATTCATCCACCTTCCTGACCGATTTCTCAACTACAGGACAAAAGGGTGCCCTACCACCAATTCTTCCGCCCAAAGCCGTTGATTAGCAAGTGTGGGATTACTGATACCAGCAATTGGTCGGTGAAATTTTCGCCATATCTGGTTATCCTCACTCAGTTTAGCCTGCAGACCAATGCAGTTACCCAACAACTTATTTACATCATAAAGTTTAATTGATTCCATTTTTAGAAAGATGCATTCATAATAAAGGTATTTATGATGAAAAAATAAAATGGTAGCCCATAAAAGACCAGCTTTGTCTCTAATGGTTATGTTAGACAGACGACTTAGAATATATTTTATATTGCCATCGACAGCCTCCATGGAAACTTAATATACAAGGGTTACCAACCCACTAGTTACCACTATATTACCATATTTATATAATTTGCTCTTTGCTAAAGAGTTACCCACTAGTTACCACTATATTACCATATTTATATAATTTGCTCTTTGCTAAATTTGTTTCAAATTCTTCTTTTAGTGGACCGCCAGCAGATCCCACTATAGGCAGCAGATTCAAAAAACCAATGAAATAATACAAAAACTAACAGACTCCTATACCACTGAAAAAACAACTAATGTCCAACTTATTGAAAAACTTGAGGAACTAAAACAAGAAAATGATAAACTAAAGACATATATAGATACGTTAGAGAAACCAAAAGAAACTGAAAAGTTAGGACAAGAAATGAAAGTACTCAAGCAGACAGAAACAGAAAATGATAATGTTGAAGCAGTTAGGATCAAAGAAGAACCTATTATAATTGATTAGTTTAGTTTAGGCAATATCTTTAGGAAAGTAAAAATTGGTTAACATTTTATCCTGTAATCTGTGTTGTTTAAGTACTGAAACAAGTCCCTCACGTCTTTTACTTTAGACTGATTAATAGAAACCCTAGGCAAAGGTGTAAGAGTAAGGTCAAGTGGCAACGTTTTTGCAAATTTAAAAGGGATATACATTTCAAAGTAGGTTTTAGAAGCAGCCAGTGTCCCACAAGGTTTATACTTCAGCACGCAATACTGTTGTATTTTAAACCCACAATCTTTATTCACAGGCTTCTTCAAAAAATAAGAAAGAAGTGCTGCATCACAGTCATATATTATAGAAGAGTTATGTTTGAGGCAGAAAGGAGGAGTATGTCTGCACTACACGATTTTTTCTAGGTAGACTTTGGATTCCTCAACATCTTGAGCTCTTTTTAACCCCAAAATTTCTGTCTCACTAACTAAAGGAGTGTCCACGAACACAATGAATATGTGTCACTTCGACTCTGTATATTTTTGATATCTAAGAACAAAACCGTAACAAAGTCTGATTTTTATTTTGGTCTCCAGCTGCATCTGATAGAAGAACAATATGCTTGGTATTTGTATAATCTGCTAATTTATTATGAATACAGTCAAAGATGAATGAAGCAACACAACTTGCTCACTTTCTACATTGAGATTCTATGAAGGAATATACATATGATGATCTATCATTATGCATGTGTGTATTGAATAGCAGAGATAATCAAACTGCTGAGCTGATAAGAAGAATACCACTGGGATGGGCAGCATATGGAAGATGTGATATTTTTAAAGGTGATATACCTATCAGCTTAAAAAGAAGAGCCTTTAATCAGTGTGTCCTGCCTGTCCTTACATATGGCGCAGAGACACTTACCCTAACAAGGACATCTACACGAAAATTACAAGTGTCTCAACATAGAATGGAAAGATCATTGTTAGGCATAACATTGCGAGATAGGGTAAGAAACGAAGAAATCCGTAGAAAAAGTGGTGTAGAAGACATTATAAAAACACACAGCCAAAATTAAATGGAGGTGGGCAGGACACGTCGTTAGAATGAAGGAAAATAGGTGCACCAAAAAAATCTTGGAGTGGAGACCGAGAGCAGATAGAAGAAACCCGGGAAGACCACCCATAAGATGGACTGACGACATAAAGAGGATTTTTACCAACTGAATTGCAGCAGCGCAAAATAGATCTGAATGGAGGTTTTTCGAGGAGGCCTATGTTCAGCAGCGGACGACTATGGACTAAGGGTGATGATGATATTGAATACATACATCCATAATAGTCTTTTATAGAACTGTTTTGTTATGCTGAGCTTTGGCAATGGTAGATTTTATACTTAATCAAATTTCAGGACAAGAATCACACTATCATCTGTTTTTTTTTCTCAGTAATCATTTTTCTCAGTAATCACTCAAAAGAGTGCTTTAGATAAGTTATTTTTGCAAAACATTTTTCTATATCACATTGTCAGAAATTCACCAAAACAGAGTTTATTTAGAAGCATAAATATTTATAAATATTTCTCTATTTCACTAAAAAAGGGTTGTACCACTATAAAAAACTGTAATATCGTAGAAAAAATTGGTAGACTGATAGAGAACAACATAAAGACTTCAATTCTCTGTTCTCCGGAAGAAGGGCCCTTATTCTAGGCACCACCTTAATTGTTGTCAGTAATACTCACTTAAAAATTGACAGCTTGGTCTGACCTTACTTTATAGATTTTTTGAGGAAAGGATTCTCAGAAACAATATTCAAGAAAGCCCATAAACTTAAAATCAATAGAGGTATCATTGTCAGAAATAAACCCCCAGTCTATCCCAGATAGCCAATTATAAAATAAATGTTTACCTTTTTCAGTTAAAAGTTGAATAAACCTTGGTTGTTCTTTGTAACTTACAGTACTTTTCTGAGTTGCAAGCCTAACAATTTGCCCCCTGTGATCCAAAATCCCCACATCAATCACCTCAGTTGAGCTGAGTGATGCTCCAGAATCCAAAAAGACATTGTCAATGTAGTTATTGAGACTGGTTGGAGTATATAGAGGTTTTACCAGATTAAAATCTTCAAAAACATCTTAGAACTTATGGGCAGATATATTTTCAGTGAGAAAATCAACATTGAAATCCCCAGCAACAAGGATTTGCTTGAGTGGGTTAAGTGTGCTTAGTACCCCCTCTATGGAGTCTAAAAAAGGCCAGAGGGGATGTGGAACTACAATAATCAATTAAAAATGTACTTTGAAAATAAGGCTATTATCGAGCACAAGTTAATTAAATCTAGCCCAAGTACTTTCGCTTAAAATAGCATCTTCAGGGGCATTTCGTCAAAATGTTTCCACATTCTACACTTGCCGGATAGTTCACATTTTGACGAAATGCCCCTGAAGATGCTATTTTAAGCGAAAGTACTTGGGCTAGATTTAATTAACTTGTGCTCGATAATAGCCTTATTTTCAAAGTTCATTTATTCGAGCATTCAACCTCATTTCATTTAATTAAAAATGTATCATTATATACAACATTAAAACAACTAGAACTTTTTACAACATAATGATTATATATTTTGACTTCCGTTTCCTATCAGAACAACAAAATACCAATATTATCCAATTAAATGCAAAAAATGATAAACACAAAAGAGAAAAAATATTTTATTATAGTTTGATACATACTCAAAAAAATATTCAACAAGTTACTTATCAACACTAAAGTATTAGTGTTTTCCATAAAAAACAATAAAAATACTTTCCCATATAATTCTCAGTATTGTAGGCTTTTTTGACTCTGACAAAATTATATTGTGAACAATTTTAGGTTTGTGATTCATGTTATATAGTATAAGGGACCATTTCTTTATTAAAAAAATTCACATTTCTATTAAAAAACTGTTCTTTTATAAAAAAGACACTTTTATAGCAGAAAGCAGAAAAGACACATTATGGGTGTGCTAATGTATATCAAAAAATTACTGTAAATTAATTTAAATTAAAAATATATAAAACTTTTAAAATAAAGAACAGAATTATTATCTACCTACAGTGCCTTTTTGTACTCCACTATCACTCCTAACACCTAACAATAATCGTCTAGATCATCTTCTCCTTGTTGTTGTTGCTGCTGCTGTGCTTGTCTCGCAGCTGCTGCTTGTAGTTGTTCCCACTGTTGTTGATCGGCTTGTGCTTGTTCCTGTCTAGCTTTGGCAAACAGTTCTTGTTGTTGCCTTAACAATTCTTCTTCTGGTATACCTAGATTTTCTAGTCTGGTACTTTGTCGTCTGCGTTTTGCTGCGACTGCTTTACAATCTTTGAGGACAGCTTCAGCTTCCGCCGTGTAATCACAAAATCCAAGCCTGTTCAGAGCTAAAATATAACGACTATAATGAATTTCACCTAGTTGAAAGTTATCCAATAAAACAAAGAAATTTAAGAAATCTCTACTTGTACTTACCCATTAAAACATGCTCCGCATTTATCGTCTTTTTGTGAAGCTGATTACAAATTTCATTTGCTTCTGAGCTTAATAAATGGATAAATTCTGTGCAACAATTTAAAATTAATTCTCTTGCTTCATTTGCTATCCTAACTGAGGGTACTAATTCTTTTATCATTTTATTAATGCTAGCTCTAGGAAGTGTCAGTTCATCGTCTTCTGTATTTCCCGATCCTAGAGGTCCGGTAGAGTTTGGATTCGCCATTATTTACAGTTTACAAAACAAAATTTTAATTAAATAGAATTAATATTACAATTACAATGTTTTTAGTTGAAGATGTCACACAGTGTTAACATGTCAATTGTCAGATTATTCTTCTTGTTGTTAGTCGATACTATTTCGAATTATATACATTTCAGATCAAGAAAACACAAGCCTCGGTAGCGCAGTAGGCAGCGCGTAAGTCTCATAATCTTAAGGTCGTGAGTTCGATCCTCACCCGGGGCAACTTTTTTTAATTTAAAAAAGTTGAATATTATAACTTGTAAAATTATGAATAATCTTTTTATTTAAAATTTATCTATTTAAGATATATTTATAAATATAATTTATTATAAAAAAAAATTAATAGACGTAATTCAGGCAAAATATTCTTTAATTTTGTATTTTTTTCATTTCAATAATATATGCTGCTATAATTAGAAAAGAGAACGTCAATTTGAAATTAGGAAAACCAGAAATTAATATTAAATGAAGTAAAAATAACCAATAATAAGTGAACCCTTATGTTAACCCTTTTTGCGTACCACTAATTGTCTTACAGGATCGGATTGGGTTTGAATAAAAACTTAAGTAAGTAATAATGAGAACTGTTTCCAGCTAGAAATGTAATGTAAACGAATACAAGAAACATCGTAAGGTGACCTAAAGGTCATTAAAACCCACTGTGAACTGTACATACATTACAATAATAATTACATAATACGGTTATTACTTGTTTATATCTAAAATTTCTAGTAAAAAGGTAATTGAATTTCTATTTCAAAGTTTGAGTTGGAAATAGTAAATCTTGAAAAACTACATATTTAATATATGTAATTATTTATTTGCTGAATTATTTTCAATTATTGACAGTTTAAATTTTGGTGGATGCGCTGCAGCATTCTAAATAACCGGTTGTCACAGCCATTTGATAATTATTTTGTTTGTATACCGCTTTAAATGCTGAAGTTAAAAATCTCTTATTAAAATTCAAAGAAAGCTTTAGCTATAAAACCTTTTTAAATCATAACAATCTTTCCACTTGTCGGCAATAATTCTTATATTTTATCGCCATCACTTCAATTTATTTTCTTTATTTTAACGCGTAAGTGGTGTAATAAAAATTGATGAGTTTCTTACAGTTGACTAAGACTCTGAGGGCTGAACGGTCGATGTTTCCGTGGCGTAAGATTTTTTAATTTTGTCTATGTATAGATTGATGCTTATAAGTGATAATTTTTGTTACATCATTTTTTAAAAGCACGCGATATGTTTTGTTGGGAACTGGCAAATATAGATTTTCAATAATTTTTGAAGTTTAATTTTGTAATATACGAACCGTGTATTTTATACGCAAATTCGGGTAGAATTGCGTTGGTACACACTTGACATATTTGGCGACCGTGACAGGACTGTTTCCATAAAATTAATCGTGGTTGTATACGAGGTGTAACAAAATTGAATTGACGATCACCGGACAAACTTTATCGCGTTTCGCCTGTAACTTTCGGTAAACGTGTGTGGTTTTGACCAAGTTTGCAGAGAAAAATGGATCAAAAGAAGAAACATCGCAAAGTGCTCCGTAGCACCTTCACGAGGACGGCGAATGAAATGGATAAGCTTTTGTCGGCGCCGGAGGGTGAGATACGATCAATTAAAGTTTCCTTGGATCTATTACGCCAAAAAATTGAAGACCTAAGGAAAAGTGATGAAGAAATCTACGGTCTATTACTAAGTGAAGACGCTAGTGAAGAAGACCTTTTAGCAGAAATTGAGTGTAGTGACAACTATAGCAAGAAGTTTTTGGATCTCAGTATGCAGTTCGAAGACCGTATGCAGTCAATAGTGACAGGTGCAGTGGAAGGTGAGGTAGCTTCTAGGATATCTGATGATAGGAGTAGTTTAGACAGCAGACGCGGTAAGCGAAAATTTAAATTACCTACATTAGAGTTCAAAAAATTCGACGGGAATATTAAAAACTGGTTGCCTTTTTGGTCACAATTTCAAAAAGTTCATCATGATCCTGACATAGATCCGAACGACAAGGTCGAATATTTGATTCAAGCTACTATACCGGGTAGTAGAGCTAGGCAACTAGTGGATAGTTTTCCCGCCACTGGAAGTAATTATGATGCTATGATTGACTGTCTTATTTCGCGTTTCGGTCGGGATGACTTGCAGATCGAAGTTTATGTACGGGAATTACTTAAATTAGTAATAAATAATACTGCGTCTGGCAATAAATTAGATCTATCCTTGTTATACGACAAATTAGAGACTCAGTTGAGGGTTCTGGAAACACTCGGTATTAAGTCGAATAAATACGCGGCTATGTTATTTCCTTTAGTTGAATCCTGTCTACCTTCAGATTTATTAAGAGTTTGGCAACGATTGCCAGAAAGTATCGGATCACAAGCGTCACTTAATTCTGCCGGCATTGCCGAGCAACTACCAAATTGCAAAAAGGAGACTCGAGAGCACATTTAAGAAAATAACGAAAGACGGATATCTTGAAGCCTACGACCAAATATTTAAGGATTGGTTGGATGAAGGTATAATTGAAGAAATATCCGAGGAGCAGCCTAGCCAAGAATGTCATTATTTACCCCATAGACCGATAATTAAGCCAAATAGCTTATCTACAAAAATCAGACCGTTCTTTGATGCTTCGGCCAAAGAAAAACACAGACCTTCTTTAAATCAGTGTCTTGAAAAGGGGGTTAACCTGATTGAATTGATTCCAGCTATTTTGTTGAGATTTAGACAAAAGGAAATTGGTGTAATCTCCGATATTCGGAAAGCATTTTTGCAAATTGGCCTGCATAAAGCTGACAGGGATTTTCTTCGCTTTCTATGGATAGATAAAACTGGAAAAGAAAGGATTTACCGTCACTGTCGAGTTGTATTTGGAATAAGTAGTAGTCCATTTTTATTGGCAGCTACGCTGGACTATCATTTATCGCAGATGTTAGAAAAATGCTCTTCGGCACGGCTTAATGTTTCAGAAGACACAATTACAAATTTATCCAATAGTTTTTACGTTGATAATTGTGTTACCAGTGTAAGAAATGAGCAGGAACTGAGAACTTTTATAGAAGAGTCAAACATAATAATGAGTGAAGGCAAATTTGACCTCAGAGGGTGGGAGTATACTGGCCAAATACAGGATGAAAACCTTGCAGCTTCAACTCAGGTGTTGGGAATAAAGTGGAATAAGAGTGACGACACTCTATTTCTGAATAAAGACAATAAATTATCGGGAATGAACGCTTTTAAGGATGAGCATGGACTAATTCGCTTACAGTCGCGTATTAGTAATAGAAATGACCTAGAGTATTTTCGGTTTCCTATAGTTTTACCGGCAAAACATTTTTTAGGGAATAGGTTGTTATTCCGGGAACATGTTAAGTCGTGTCATATTGGAACTCAAGGACTCACGAGTATCGTGCGTGAACGATATTGGATTTTAGGTGGTCGACGGGCGATAAAATCAGCCATCATTAAGTGTGTCGTCTGCAAAAGGCATAATGCGAAGCCATTCGGAGCAAGTGCTCCGCCGTTACCAGTAGATCGCGTCCGGGACGCGGTAGCATTCGAAACGACGGGCGTAGATTTTGCGGGACCGCTTTACCTAGCCACCGGAGGAAAAGCATGGATATGTCTTTTTACGTGTGCCGTATATCGTGCTGTACATGTCGAACTTTGCACCTCGTTGTCAGTCGCCTGCTTCATGCAGGTTCTAAGACGTTTTATTGCCAGACGTGGTCGTCCGAAGACTATATACAGTGATAATGGAACTAACTTTGTCGGAACTGAGAACGCGTTTTCTCGAGTAGACTTTCAAAAAATAGCTGAGAACAGTATTAATGAGCGGATCCAGTGGCGGTTTAACCCCCCGACAGCTGCGTGGTGGGGTGGTTTTTGGGAAAGGCTCGTGGGCATGTTGAAGCAACTGTTGCGTAAAGTATTGGGACGTGCTTCACTGGATTATGAAAGCCTATTGACTGTCTTATGTGATTGTGAATCCATCATAAATTCTCGACCACTTACCTGTCCCACATCAGATACCACGGAGATGGTACCTTTAACACCACAGATGTTCCTTAGAGATCAGATAGAAGACGGTGTCCCGGATTGTGATGCAGTTGATGGTAGGTCTCTATCCAGAAAAATTCTGCACAGGCAAAGATTGTTAGAAGATCTTCGACGAAGATTTCGGAATGAATATCTAGGTCAGTTAAAATTATGGTCGAAAAAGAATTTTAAACACCAAGTCAAAGTAGGAGATGTAGTATTCGTAGGAAACGACCAGGACAAGCGTGTTAATTGGCCTCTTGGTCGTGTAACTGATACTATTCCCGGTAGAGATGGTCAAATTCGGCTTGTTAGGATTTCTACAGAAAGAGGTCAATTTTTAAGACCAATTCAGCGTATCTACCCCATGGAGTGCCCAGCAGATTTTTCTCAGACGCCAGGCAATGACCGAACGGACAACACGGGAGAGACCGAAGACAGAGGATCTCGTTTAAGTTTATGTGAAGGCGCGGAAGTGAGTGCCTCCGAAAACGACGCGGAAACGGGAGTGTCTGAAAGCAGAGTACCCGAAACGAAAAAAATTGTTACGCGAAGTGGGCGCAGCGTCAAAACTCCTGTGCGATACGCTAACGAGTAGATTTAGTTTTTGCTTAATTATATTTCGAATTTTGTCTGTTATGGTTTTATGTTATTTGCTGTAGTTTTGTTTACTTTTGTGCCAATATTAATATTGTGAGCCATGTTTACTTTTGTAAAATGCCTCAGGTGGGAGGATGTCACAGCCATTTGATAATTATTTTGTTTGTATACCGCTTTAAATGCTGAAGTTAAAAATCTCTTATTAAAATTCAAAGAAAGCTTTAGCTATAAAACCTTTTTAAATCATAACAATCTTTCCACTTGTCGGCAATAATTCTTATATTTTATCGCCATCACTTCAATTTATTTTCTTTATTTTAACGCGTAAGTGGTGTAATAAAAATTGATGAGGTTCTTACAGTTGACTAAGAATCTGAACGCTGAACGGTCGGTATCCGTGGCGTAGTAATTTTGTG